GACTTTTTAATTATTTAATTTATATCCATAAAATTATAAATTAAATAATGTATATTTGAAAAGCTATATAATCAAGTTGAAAAGTGACCCTAATATTCAAGGGTGTGTGTGTGTGTGTGTGTGTGTGTGTGTGTGTGTGTGTTTGGAGGAGTGGAGGAAGGAGGAAAGCTCTCCCAGGTGACAAGCCTAGTCCTCCACCATCTGCCCTCATCATCCCCTTTAACAACTGCAGGCCAAACATTGTCTCCCAAATTATAAGAATTGCCTAGGGTGCTTGTTTAAATACAGATTCCCTGACCTCTGCCCAGAGATTGATTCTTCAAGAAGACTGGGGTAGAGATAGAAATTTGTATTTTTAGGCACCCTAGATGATCCTTAAGATCAGGTAACTTTGTGAAAGACTGGCTTAGGGCATTAAATGAAACATTTTGACATGAGTTTGAGGTACCATTTCTTGCTCATTATTTTATTTTATTTTTTAATCCTTACCCGAGGACATTTTTGCATTTATCTTCAGATAGAGCGGGAGGGAGAGAGAGAAACATCGACGGGAGAGAGAGAAACATCGATTGGCCACCTCCTGCATGCCCCACTCTGGGGATTTGACCCACAACTTGGGCATGTGCCTTGACTGGGAATCAAACCAGCAACCTCTTAGTGCATCCGTCAATGCTCAACCACTGAGCCACACCAGCCAGGTGGGCCTTAGTTTTTTACGTTGTTTTGGGGGATGAGAAAAATCCCCTTGCCTCAGCAGCTTATTAGTACAGATTGAGGAAGCACGGTTAATGCCACATCCACCTCACTCCTCCACCCTGAGTTTAGAGGCTAGATCATCAGCTCCCGTTCAAGGGGAAGGGGCTTGTCCAGCTGGTTCTCGGGAGCATCAGAATAGCACACAAGCGCAAACTTGTGGATTCTTGATATTGAATAAGACTGATATCATCTGAATTAACAAAGGACCCCATTGAAGTTAGATATGGACTCATGAATTACTAAATTCCAAGTAGAGTTAATTACGTATTATAGTTAAAGGTAGAAGCTATAATAATAGACGATCCTATCAGGACTGCAGCCCCTTGAGAACCCCACTTTTAAATACAACCCAGCATACAAAAACATCCAAGGGATGGCAGTGAAAAGTAAAACTGCTCTGGTAAACGCAATAGAAAGCCCAACCAAATGAAAGAAAAATTCAATAACTTGATCAGAATTTACCACGTGTTTCTTAAGATCTTAAAATCAAGAGAGAGAAGGAAAATACTTTAGGCTAGAGAGAAAATCCTCAGGATCTCTGATCTGGCCCATGGGCTCACTCTAGCAGTGCTTTACAAATTGCAGGGCATGACCCATTAGAGAATTGTGAGATCTTTTTTTTAAAAAGATATAAAAGAACCCAGTGGTGTGGCTCAGTGGATTGAGCATTGTCCTATGGATTGAGAGGTCCAGGTGTGATTTCCTGTCAGGGCACATGCCTGGGTTGCAGGCTTGATCCCCAGTAGGGGATGTGCAGGAGGCAGCCTGTTGATGTTCCTCTCTCACATTGATGTTTCTCTCTCTCTCTCTCTCTCCCTTCCTTTCGCTAAAAAATCAATAAAAACACACCCAAAAAATAAAAATAAAAAAAACATGAGAGAAATACTAGAATGCATTGTGTGCAGAAAGGATAGTACTTCATGAAGTTTTTAAAAAGTAGTATTTACAGCCCTGGCTGGTTTGGCTCAGCGGTTAGAGCTTAGGCCCAAGGACCAGAGAGACCCGGGTTTGGTTCCCGCTAAGGGCACGTACCTTGGTTGCAGTTTGTCCCCGCCCCTATTGGGGTTGTGAAGGTGGCAACCAGTCGATGTGTCTCTCTCACATCGATGTTTCTCACTCTCTTCCCCCTTCTCTCCTTCTCGCTCTATCTGAAGATAAATGCAAAAATGTCCTTGGGTAAGGATAAAAAAAAAAAGTAGTATTTATAAATATGAGTGTGTGATCGTTTGCAATGTGAATTGTGGTTATTGTGGCTCACAACAAAAAGTTTCAAATACACTTCATAAAGGGTTAACTCTGACAGTTCAGTCCCAGGGCAGTTTTAATCATATCATTCAGACATTGCTTAAGTTCACATGGTCATTCTGTTGGTTTCTTTTTAATAATTTATTTTTTCAAGATCAAATACTGAGGACCAGACTCCATCTCAGCTTTAACTGAGAAATCACTTATTGAAATAAAAAACATAATATTCTACAAAGAAAGACCACTGATTTACTGGGCCAGTATTAAAGGGTCTTATTATGGATTATTTATTTATTTATTTCTAATAATTTTATATGTGATTTAAATTTGCTTGTTTTTATAGAATTGAATTGTTCCTTGGAATAACATGACACAATTTAAAGTATCTTTAAAATTATGATAGGGACCATTAAAGCCTATGTTTTCACTTTATCATGACTAGTATTTAAAAAAATCCTGCAGATGCTGGTGGTACAACTGAAATAAGATTACTGCCTGAACTTTACATGAATTCGTGAGAAAACAGCTATTCCTGAGGACCTGCGAGGCCAAGTTTGGCACATTTTAAAGTATCATTCAACCTTTCAAAGTTCTAAGTGGCCTAAAAGAAGCTCTGCATCAGTCTTGTATTCCATAGTCTTAGAAAGTCAAATGGCTATAAAAGGTAGTTAAACAGGGATTCCTCTCACGTCTGCTGCTGCTGCTCGTGTCAACACAGGAGAACACAAACATCTACCTTCGGCAGCTCTCTAGTTCCCGGGGGCAAACAGACTGAAAAGAGGAGTAACAGTAAAATAAACTTTTATTAAATCCAATTCTGGAAATGATATGCATAAGTTAACAAAGTATGAACATTTAAATAACTGACATTTGAAACACACTTTCTAGCCAAGGCTGTGGCAAAGGTTAAGTTGTGAACTTGAGTTGGTACTGTAATATATGCAAATACAATTGGCACCAGGTGCCATCTGTATACATTTTTTTAAAAACTCACACTTTTAACATAATTTACCTCTTAATCATAAGGGAAGGCATTGCAATAAACATTTCTACTTTCTCAGCCTACTTCTTATGATATATTTAGTCTTACTGTAAATTGATATTAAATATAGGTATTGATCTGCTACTGGTTGAACAACTCATCCTCTCAGATGCTGGTTATGGCTATCCATGGTCTCTGATGGAGAGCGGTCAAGTCCTATAGAACCATTGTGAAAATTGACACCTATAAGGGCCTATCTAAAGTTAGAGTAGTTTGTTATTTTTAGATATTAAAATCCTTCCATCTCCAGTATCTGCCTTTTAGCTATTTTACTAAACACAATCAATGTCTGGTATATAATAGCATTCCTCTCAATAACTGTTGAATGAAAGGAAATTATAATTTCTCTCAGAAAATGACTGACAAAGGAACCCAAATTCATGGTTCTTCTTATTTACCTCACCATGTGGGCATGCGGGTCCAACTCTGTTAAGGGAAGATGAACCACGGCCGGAGAGGGAGAAATGGACCGGGCAGACAGCATCTTGCAAATTCTTTTAAGGACTGTGACTGATATCTATAATGAAGAGATAGGAAGGGTGTTAAGCAAGTGAAATGGTCAGAATTGCGGAGGTGTAGAAAGATCATTCTGCATCTTGTGTAGAGAATGTATGGATGGGTGGATGAGGCAGAGACAGTTAAGAGTCTATTGAGATCCAAATAAGAGGAGATGGAGGTCTAAACCAGGATAGCGGCAGAAGAGATGGAGAGGAGATTCAATGGAGGTTTGTAAGGCTGAGCTGAAAGGAGAGGTGATTGATTGGAAGAGGTGAGCAGGAAGCAGGAGTCAAGAATGAGGACCCAGTTTCTAGCAGGGACGCAGGGAGGATAGTTATGCCATCACAGGAGATTTAGCGAGAAAGAGGCCAGTTTGATTTTGGACATGTTGGATTTGAGGCTTCTCTTCCAGAAGAGTCCAACAGAGGTATGCTAGGGGCAGTTTTGAAATACAGGTCTGAAGGATTAGGAGTGAAATGTTATCTTTTTGAACTTTAATCCAGACCAGTATTTTATGTTCTATAAATTATAGTTACATATATATTAAATAGACAAGGGTTGAATACAGCCTAGATCAACAGTTTATTCTCTCTTGATTTTCTTAGAAAACCGAATGGCTATGAAATGTATTTCATTTTTCTTCTGATATGTAAACACTCTGTTAATGTTATTTTTGGCAATAGAGTTCTTGACTGGATCAGGGAGAAAAACGTAATATTTGTTGATTTTCATCTGAGTGAAGCAAATTTAGAAGACTGCTCCTACTGATTCTCATGTAAGAAAAGGTATTTTAAATATCTCAGCCTTCATAAACCTATGCAACAGTAAATCCTAAACTTTAAGTCACCCTTCTCATATTTGTGAAAGGAAGCATTTAAGGGGACAATTGATGAGGCTGCTTAGAGTAGTAGCCAAGAGCGGACTCTTAAGTCAGACTCCGGACCTTGTGTCTTACTAGTAATATGATCTTGACCAAATTATTTAATCTCTTTGGACTCAGTTACCTCATCTGTAAAATAGGAGTGATAAGAGTACCTACCCTTGGATCTATGAGAATAAGTTATGTAAACACACATAAGAGCAGTATGTGGCACACGATGTGTACTCAATATCTATTATTATTAAATAATTGTTAAAGAGAATGTTTTCTTTCTCCTAAATGCAACATCATCACTGATTAAATATCCTGGAATTATTTCAGATCAGGTTTTCCATCAGAAACAGGATTTCATATATAAGATATAACATCTAATGCGAGCCCTCTCTGAGAACTCTGTAAAAGGCATTACAGAGTGGAATCTTCCTAAGCAAGTAAGGAGCGCTAAGATGGACTGTTAGCGCATTTCCAGATGTCTAGGGATGAGGGCCAGAGCAGCAGGATTAATATCTGAAGTTTACTGAAATAACAGTTCTATAGTCCAAACAGGTATGTCACCATCAACAATAGAGAAGAGGATTTAAAATAATAAAAAGTAAAAGTACAAATCCATAAATAAATAAGTGATTTATCCTCATTTCCACAAAATGAAAGCTGGTTAATCAGGATGAATACGTATTTTACTAAAGGGACCAAACAGAGCCAATAAAGCAGTAATATGCGTGTATGGTAAACAATCTCACAAATATGAAAGACCATACTTCCTTTTCACCAAAGTGACCAGTCTGCTTCCTGAAAGATTAATTATGAGTATGCTTACCATATCATGAGTGTATGACACAAGCTTTTCAATTGGCAGTTAACATTTGTGAAAGCAATAGTTTAACAATGGTTATAAATGACGAACCGCTTAAAGTAAAACTTAATACTATACTCAATTATAAATTACACCCAGTCCATATAAGTTGAATGCATACCATACTTTAATAATCAAGACAGTTGACTGTTTTTCTGGAGTATATTTCAAACAGTTAGCATATAACCCGTATATAACAATATTGCTGTTTTTAGTCATTTTATATTTAAGGGTTCAAAATATATTATGTTCACAAAATAACACTGTCAGTGAATGTCAACAGTTTTTATTTATATTCCTTCAAAAACACTCTACCCTGGTCGTACACACAAACTACATAACTGAAAATAACCGAAGATGATAAGTAATTCAGAGTCTCACCTCCACACAGAAGTTCTAATTGCCCTAGAAACCTGTAGCTCAAGTTCTCAACCTCTGAAAATGAGCAAACATGTTCTAGAGCTGTAGCCAGATATTTGGGCTTTGTATTAATAGCATTGGATTTGAGACCTAAATGTGGCCATAGACGTCACAGTAAGCTAAGTCCCATATCAAAAATAAAATGCAAAAGGAATTGAGAGGTTGTGATTTCAATGGCACAAACTTCGAAAACTGAACGCTTAGACATAACTCCTACATCTCTTTATGTAAGAATTTGTTGCCATGCTTACAGGTCTGAGGCAGTAATCTATATATTAGTGTGTGATTATTCAAAGAGTGTACTGAGTACCATGAACTTGGGTCCTTATGCTGCAGTATTAATTTTGCTGTTCCCCCAAAGAATCCTTTGCTTATGAAGTAAATAGGCTCTTAAGGCACATTTTAACAAAAAACCCATCATACTCAGCTCAAAAATGGAAGCTCCTTCTGGTTACAATAACATACGTTTATATATATATAAGTAATGTGTGATTTATCAGATAGGCAAATGTCTCTATCTTGAGGATAAAGTCACATTAGAAAAGCAATTATTTTTGTGTTTGCTCAAAAAAGCATTATGTAAAAATTATTAAAGAATTAGATCTATAAGAATAGCCCACCCATACCAGACCTGTTGGCAAAGGTCCAACAGAGTATAGGTCTGAACATTAGAGAAGACTTCTCTGGAACCCTGCGTTCCTGCTCACCCAGGTTTCTGAGCAAAAATTATGAGGGGGGTTGGGGGTCCTTCATGCTTTTTAGAAATTTTCTTCCAAAATGCACAGCCTCTTGGGAGAGCTGAAACCTTAAACCCCAATCAGCTACCATTTTAAACTGCAGTTACTAGACTCAAAGGAATGGGACTTGGAGAGAGGAAGGAGAGAGGACAGAAAAAAGTCTCAAATAGAAGTGGGATTATTTCAAGGACAAGTTGCTTTAGGAACTTGATACATTTTGCTAGGAGCAGCTTTGATATCCCTATGAGCCTCTGCTAAAAGAAAAAAATATATATATATTTTCTAATACCCACAAGCATGCCTTAGGCACTGACCCTTGGGATGGATCTAGAATGATCTACTTGGAATGGTTTGGGATGGGGATAGATTTAGGAGTCTCCTAACTTGCTACTAAAGTAAACATAAGAGAAAGAATTTCATGGAAACAAATATATAGCTAACTGTAATGCCTCCTCTGGCCATTCTCTTGCCATTGACCTTGAGGGGTTTTCAGGATAACTTTTCAGCTGTGCAGCGCTCTGCTGGCAAGCTGAGCTCTAGTTCAATCATAAGGTGGGAATAGGCAGAGTCTACAAGGTACGCCGTCACAGATGAGAAAGACACTCAGAGGTGACAAATGTGCCCAACAGGATTCCGCTCTATGGCAGAGATCTGAGACATTCTCTGTGATCATGGAGCAGTAATAACAGCTGGTCCTAAATAAACATTTCCAATGTTGCACAATAACAGGTCCATTTCACAGGGACCAAACATACAGACTTGTGTATATATTTTCATATCTGCAGTTGCCAATCACCTACATTTGGGAAATCACGTGTCCTCTGATGTTACTTTAGCCTGGGTGGCAGGTACAAAAAAACCTCCAGAATCCCTGCACTTCAATGACATTCTTTATTTGTCTCCAGTGATCGGCATCGTTTTGGAAGTCTGGTCCCAAAGGTTCTAAAGCACAGTAACACAGCAAAAAGAAACCACCTGTCTGTATAAAACGCAGATAGAGAAGTGTGCTGAGGTAAAGAACTTCGTAGAAACTGTGGAATAGGGAAGCACTGCCATAGCCATAGAAATGTTTAGATAAGTTCGGTGCTAATATTATTCATCAAAACTCCTGTTTGTATTAGTTATAAACAAGGGACAGTGCTTCTTGCTCCTGCAGCTTGCTGCCCCAATCTGTTCCATTGCCACTAAAAAATGACTTTTTTCTCAACAATTGGTAGCAAAGATTCCCAAATGTATAAAAATTCATTGCTGATGCATTACATTTTGATTAATTTCTGATTGCCATATAGCTAAGAACTACCATATGCATGTCCTTCACACCAAGTACAGAAAAGGCTTAGAAAAGTTATTTTATCAAAGTTTAGTTCAATGAAAAAGTGCAAAATATATACAGTTCCTGGCAGTTCTCACACAGGATTTTTCTGACTACAGACCATAAAAGTTTACATTTGTGTCATAAAATTACAGTGGATTTAACTTCATTGTTAATATACAAGTTTTTGCTTCAAAGTGCTTGCTTTATTTAAAAAAAGAAAACATCAAGAGGGTTGCAGGAATTATGTTTTTACAACAAATTTATGTTATGTGTCCCAGTTTCCTTCTTCTTCCTTTAGTGCAACACAGTGCAGCAGCCAGACTGAAAGGTCTGATTTCAAAAGCTGTTCCTGAAACCTCCCCTACAGCAGCACTCTCGGGTTTCCATTGGGGGTGGCTCCTTTTTTCTTCTGCAGCCGATTTTGAACCTTTCGTGATTTCACCACTTTCATTCTTACCTCAAAAACTTCATGGATGGCCTTCCGGAAGCAATGAAAATTATAGTCAATAAGCCCTGGAGATGAAAACAAAAATATTTAGAAATGTCACAGAAATAATCTCCATCTTTTCATGTTGGCCATGGCAAGGATTAACCAGCAGGGGGCAGCAGAGGAGCGGCCTTAACATAAGGGCCACAGACTGCCCTAGGAGGTCTGCAGCTGGTTATCAGGAATTACATGCAAAGTTTTGTGAATGTATATTTTTCCCTAGGAAAAGTTTCCAGAGTATATACTACATTTTCAAAGGTATCTATAACCCAAAACATTTGAAGAACCAAGTGAGCAAAACTTCTGACTTTTCAGAATTAAAGATTTTTTACAATAAAGATATATATATATCTTCAATGAAATATTTGTTTTGTTTTGTTTTTTAATCCTCACCCGAGGACATTTTTTCATTTTTTGTTCAGGTAGAGTGGGAGGGAGAGAGAGGAACAGAGAGAGAGAGAGAAACATCGATGTGAAAGGAACACATCGAGTGGCTGCCACCTGCACGACCAACCAGGGCCGGGGACAAACTGCAACCGAGGTACGTGCCCTTAGTGGGAACCGAACCCGGGTCTCTCAGGACCGCAGGCCGACGCTCTACCGCTGAGCCAAACCAGCCAGGGCTTCAATGAAATATTTATTAATTACTTTTCTCCAAAAGGCATTATTAAATTGACTCTTTGTGGAGGTAGACCCTGACTTGGAGTGTGGCTGAGGTATCAAAGCCACAGTATCAATCAATATTTACTGGATATATATTATATTTAAACCATTGTCATAAGCCCTGGGGAAAGCCAAGTCCCTGATTTTAGAATAGTAGCAGTCACCTCAGGTCAACTCAAGCTCAGGAATTCAATGACACTCAGTTCTTTTTTTAATCCTCACCCGAGGACATTGTTTGTTTGTTTATCTTCAGATAGAGCGGGAGGGAAAGAGGGAGGAAGAGGGAGAGAGAAACATCAATGTGAGAGACACACTGAGTGGTTGCCACCCGCATGACCCCAACAGGGGCCGGGGACAAACTGCAACCAAGATACGCGCCCTTAGCGGGAACCGAACCCGGGACTCTCTGGTCCATGGGCCAACGCTCTAACTGCTGAGCCAAACTGCCTAGGGCGACACTCAGTTCTTCAATATCATGTAAACTTTAAATGGAGAAATAGTAGGGGAGAATCTTCTTGTATTTTCAGAAATTAATTCATAGTACAATAATAAAAGATAATCCAAAGTCTTGAGTGTATTTTTCATCATCATTAGTTTGTTAGTATTGAGCCCAACCTTATATTTATACCAATTAAGATAAGCAGTTGGTTCTATTTACTATCTTTGCACTTTTTTTTTCTTCTTTATTGCGTTTAGAGAGGGAGAGGGAGAGAGAGAGATGGACACATTGATGAGAGAGAACATTGATTGGCCTCCTCCTGTATGCCCCCCACTGAGGATCTGGCCTACAACCTGGGCTTGTGCCCTGACTGGGAACCGAACCGGTGACCTCTTGGTGCATGGGTCGACGCTCAACTACTGAGCCACACCAGCCAGGCAACTGTCTTTAAACGTATTAAAACAACTAGCCCAACCATTATTTCCATCCACTCGGGTGATGTTTCCAGAAACCCAAAGAAAGAACTGAGATTCCAGCCAAGGAGTGAAATTCTTCAAACTAGTCATACAACTAACTGCAAGTGAGCCAGAGGCCGCCTCAGCTTCCGGAGCAGGAAACCCTGACTGACCTCTGCTGCGTCTGCAGTGGATGGTGACCACACGTGCAGAAAGAAAAAGACTAATGAGGCAATAAGGCATAAATAAGAAACAAGGAGCAAAGGAGTGATCTTACTTAGTGGGAATTTGGAAATGAGATGTGAGAACCACCTTACAATTCTCTGCCTATCATACATGCAAACAACTGCTTTACGAAGGAAGCTTAGCTTGACCGGTTCAACGAGAAGAGTGAATCAAACACTCAGCCTGGGAAATGTCAGACATTCTATTGATAGTTTTTGACAAATCTTAACTTATTTATCTTCGCACATTTTTACATGTGAAAAAAATAAAAAACAGTAATCTTGCTGCACTTAAAGTTTTAAAAGTAAAAATGTAAAAATTCACAACTGAGGTTTTTAAAGGAAGTAAACATTCATAAAAAGAGTCTGCTATTTATTTTAACCCTTTTATTAAAGGCAGTTGAAAATACAAGACATGAACAGAACAGAGACTAGCTTCACCACCAAAAACAGCTATGACGGTCCCACATTCCTCTCTAGTCCAGTGGTTAACAACCCTAGCTGCACATTAAAAACATCCAAGGAAGTTCAAAACAATGAACAAACCTCAGGCCCCCCTCCCAGGAATTCCATTCTAATTATATGGAGGAGGACCCAGATGTCCGTATGTTTTAACCACTTCCCATCCCAAGGTGCCTACAATGTGCAGCTAAGGCTGAGAGTCGTGCATCTGCTTTCAGTTCTCTCCCTTCTGCAAAGTAATCACAGAGATCATTAATGAAACCTCAAAAGACAAACATGAAGAAAAGCTCATCACCAAGTGTTGATTATCAGCACCAATAGGACTCAGCAATATGATATTCAAGCAACAAAACAAATCAAACCACTCCATGCATTTACATGCATAGGTTCTTTTTATTTATTATTTTTGTATCCTCACCCAAGGATATTTTTCCATGTATCTTCAGACAGAGTGGGAGAAAGGGGGAGAGAGAGAAACATCGATGTGAGAGACACATCAACTGGCTGCCTCCCGCACGACCCCGACCAGAGCCAGGGACAAACTGCAACCAAGGTACATGCCCTTGACTGGACTCGAACTCGTGACTCATTGGTCCATGGGCCGATGCTCTAACCACTAAGTGAAACTGGCCAGGGCACATAGGTTCTTTTTTTTTTCCCCCTAAATATTTTTTATTGATTTTTAGAGAGAGAAGGGAGAGGGAAAGAGATAAAAACATCGATGAGAGAGAACATCGACTGGCTGCCTCCTGCATGCCCCCAACTAGGGATCAGGCCCACAACTTGGGCATTTGCCCTGACCAGGAATCAAACCGGCGACTTCTTGATGCATGGGTCGACACTCAACTACTGAGCCACACTGGTCAGGCACATAAGTTCTTTTAAAAGACAACTTACCTAATAGGGTAACCAACTCATCCAGTTAACCCAGTTTCAGCACTAGAAGTCTACTGTACCATGAACCCCCTCTGTCCCAGACAAATGGAGATAGTTTGTCATTCTAAAAAGTACACAACTTTAACATGATGGATTTACACCTAGTCTGCTTATTTACATTTATTAGTTATGACATTAAAACTGGAAGACCCTACCTTAGCTAAATCAACATCAGAGTCACCATCAGTAAGACATACAAACAGGCTTAGAGAGACAGAGAGAAACATTGATCAGTTGCCTTCCATACATGCTCTGACTGGGAATCAAACCAGCAACCCAGATATGTGCCCTGACCTGGAATTGAACGGGTAACCTTTCGGTGTACAGGACGATACCCAACCAACTGAACCACTCCAGCCTGGCTTACCAGTTTTCAATGATTAATTTTTAATGCTAATACCCAATATTGAAAATACAGCAAAATTGTCACACTCATATTCTCTCAGTAGCATAAACCCAAAGTTTTTGTAAAGGACACTTTGGTAATAATGCATTAGAAGCCACCAAAACATGCCTACCCTTTGATCTAAGTAATTTCAAATGGAAGTTTTTCCTGAGGAAAATAACCAAAGATGTACACAAATATTTAGTGCAAAGAAGGGCATCATAGATTATTTATAACATCAAAATCTAATATAAATTCCTAACAATAGAAGAAACTAATACAACCATTAAAACGATGTAGTAAAAAAGATTTAGTAAACTAGAAAGATGTCAGTAATAATTTAAGTGACGGTTATAAAGTATTATGATCATACAATCTCATTTATATAGATAAGTTATATATGAAAAAGGCTGGAAAGTTATACAGAATATGTTAATAGTATCTGAGTGAGAAGCTTATCAATAATTATTTCTTTTTTGCTTATTTGTTATTTCTAAATTTTCTAAATGAATCTATTATTTTTGTAATGAAAAATAAAAATCTAAATTATGTTTTCATGCTCAATAAATTAAAAAATATGTCATGATATAAATAAGTGAAAACAACAGGATATAAAACTAAATAGACAACCTGGCCCCACTTTTGTTGGAAGGAAGAAGGAAAGAAGAGATGAAGGAAGAGAGGAAGGGAAGATGAGACGAGAAAGGGAGGGAGGAGAGGAGAAGAGAAAGAAAGCAAATTTCAGAAATTTAACATGGGTTTTAGCTCTAGATGATAAACTTGAGCGTTTTGTTATTTATACTTTTCTAAATTTTCAAAGTATTTTATAATGAACATGTATTGCTTTATAAGGGGAAAAAGGCTAATTCAGTAAATGTTACTATGGACACTTTGTTGAGAATTTTTTTTTACCCAACAAACGGGTAACTCATACCCCAGGTAACAGCAAAAATCCCTAGGTGCAGCAGTAAGGTGGCATTTCCCAGTTTAGGCAGCAGGGGGGAAATGAGTATCTTCATGAGGGTAACTGCTTTGGTTTTGAAATAACACTAAAAAGATATTTGGTGATGTTATTAAGTATAGTTATGTCTTCCCTTTTCGGAATCATGATGCCATCCCTCTGTTTTGAGGACTAAAGAATATACAGAGGCAGAACAGAAGTTAAACACTGTCCTGCGTAAATGTTGTGTGAGTTCCCTCCTTTACATGGGAGCAGAAGTGGTCACATGCCCCTAAAGCCTTCTAGAGGTGTGGACCGGGAGGGGGGCCCTCCCCTTAGTGAGAAACATTACAGCTTGGCAACACCCCAGCTAGCTTCACCCCCAGAAAAGCTAAGGCCCCTGGGAAGATGGTTGCTTCCATTTGCACCTCACTGCAGCGTCCACCAGAGGGCAGGCTGGGTCCCGGATCCAGGAGCCAAGGCGCCCAGGACTCAGTCTGCAAGCTTCAAGAGGCATGCGGCTCCCCCACCCACATCCGACAGGCATCAAGGCAGTATTAGTCTGAATGGAAATGCTTCATTTAAATCACACGCAAAAAGTTACCTTTTCTCTCAAAGCTTTCCTCTCTGACAAAGCAAACAAGAGCCAGGAACTTTGTCACCTCTTTTAAATAAAGAACTGTGGTATTATTCAGCTTTATAATGGCTGTTGATTCCTTGTCATAGGGGGTTCCTGCTCCATCTTCTTTGAGACTAAATGGGGACAGAAACCAAAACACATTTGACCATTGAGAAAGAACTACAAATTGTAACCTGGCAACAAAGACCAGTTTTAACACAGAATGATAATGACAAGTAGTTTACGCTTACAGTGCCTTTCAGCTAAAGATCTCAGAAACACACAATCACAAGAATGTACAAAGTGCCTGACATTCACTTTCCTACTGACACAGTGAGTGGCTGTTGCGGCAGCTGGGCACCTCTCCAGGCACCTGAGGAACACAGGTGAGGGTCGGTGATTAGCTCCCCTCCCCTCCACGGCCTGCAAGGGCTTCTCGTTTGCTCATGGTTGAATAACCAGGCTGTCAAAGGCATGGTCTGATGGAAGACCAAGAAGGACTAAAGAACTGCTCCAAAGTAAAGAAGCCTAAAGACACATGGCAGCCAAATGCTGAACTGGATGCTGGATTGGGGCGGGGGAGAGGGGGACGGCGATATAAAAGGTAGAAGTGGGACCACTGGTAAAATTTGAATATGTACTATATATTAGATAATCCAGTGATGGAGCCATGTTAAATATGCTTACTTGGATAATTAAAGTGTGGTCCTGTAAAAGAACGTCCTTGTTCCTAAGAGAGAGATGCTCAGGTAACTAGGATCAAAGAATCATGATATCTGCAACTTACTCCCAAGTAGTTCAGAACAAACAAACAATATGGAATAGAAAGAGAGTGATACTGAATTATGATAAAAATTGGTGAATCCCAGTAAAGGATATATAGGAATTCAGTGTACTATCCTTGCATATTTTCTGTAGGTTTAAAATCTTTTAAAATAAAAAGGTAAATAGATTGGTCTATATTTTTTGCTTTATTTTTATTTTTTTTATTGAATTTACTGGAGTGACATTGGTTAATAAAATTATACAGATTTCAGGTATATAATTTTACATCACCTGTGTATTATACTGTGTGCTCACCACCTCAAGTCAAGTCTCCTTCCTTCACCATTTATCTATCTCCCTTATGCCCTTCTACCTCCTCCCATCCCCTTTCCCTTCCAGGAATCACCATGCTGTTATCTGTGTCTATGAGGTTTTGGGGGTTTTTACTGTTGTTTTTTTGTTTTTCTTAGTCCTTACACCTTTACACTCAGCCCACAACTCCACTTCACTCTGACGCTGTCAGTCTATTCTCTACCTATGAGTCTGTTCCTACTTTGTTGTTTATTTTGTTCATTGGACTCCACATATGAGTGAAATCAAATGGTACTTGTCTTTCTCTGACTGGCTTATTTCACTTGGCTGCAGACACAGATGACTTGGGTTTGAATCCCAGCTTACTTATTATGTGAACTTGGGCAAGTTAGCAACTTCTTTGAACCTCAGTTTTCTCATCTGTATACTAACAATAATGATTTCAAAGTTTCCTAATGTAATGAATAATATATATATATCACTGAGCATAATGCTGAGATGATGTAAAATGCATAATGATGGAGAAACATCTGTAACAAAAATTAATTAATAAAAAAAATAAAATAAAATAAAATAAAACGCATAATGAATGTTAACTGCTATTATCATCATTATGACCTTGTGTGGAAGAAACAAAATTTCCTCTACCCTCAAGGTTCTCCTGACTGGTCTAATAAATAAACATGAGACAGCCCTGGCCATTTTGCTCAGCGGTTAGAGCATCAGCCCACAGACAGAGAGTCCCAGGTTCGGTTCCCACTAAGGGCATGTACCTCGGTTGCGGTTTGTCCTCAGCCCCAGTTGGGGTTGTGTGGGTGGTAACCACTCGATGTGTCTCTCACATTGCTGTTCCTCTCTCTCTTCCTCCCTCTCTCCCTCCTGCTCTATCTGAAGATAAATGCAACAATGTCCTCGGGTGAGGATAAAAAAACTAATAAAAATTTTAAAATAAACAAAAATGAGACAGATATGCAAGAGAAAATAACCAAATGTAATACATATGTAGTATGGGAACCTTGCATACATGAGAGTCAGAGTCCCCACATGCAGGAGAGGTTCAGAGACAGAAAGGGGGATCCAGGTATATAGAACATTCTGAGCTAGGGATGAGGTAATACACCTTATGGGCTTCAAAGGGTCATTGCAGGATGATAAGAACAGATGTTTAGTAAATAAAAGTTTTTGCCCTGGCCGGTTTGGCTCAGCGGTTGGAGCGTTGGCCTGCGGACCAGCGTTCCGGATTCAGTTCCCGCTAAGGGCACGTACCTCAGTTGCAGTTTGGCCCTGGCCCTGGTTGGGGTCGTGTGGGTGGCAGCCAACGATGTGTCTCTCTTAAGTCGATGTTTCTCTCTCTCTTCCTCCCCTCCCGCTCTATCTGAAGATAAATGCACACACAAAAAAGTCCTCGGGTGAGGATAAAAAAAAATTAAGTTTTATTTGCCATATAGGTGGGTAGAAAGGTTAGCATTGATAATCTTTTATTATATGCAAGGTCCCTAATTCAAGTTCTTCTAGGTAGTTAAGGGAGGGGTAGAAGTTTCTCTTGAGCCTGAGGCTAACGTTGCCTTTAGCTCAAAAACAACCAGGAAAGGTCATGGATTCCTGGTCAAGGCACATATCCAGGTTGCAGATTCCACCCCTGATCGGGTGGTTCAGGAAGCAGCAGACTGAGGTTTCTCTCTCACATCGGTGTATCGATGTTTCTCTCTTTCTCTCCCTTTCCCTTCCTCTCTAAAAATTTCAATAAAAAATATATATATTAAAAAAATCTGTATACGACAGGGGCATAGCTTGGGGTGACTAATTCTAAATCCCCTAGCCTTAATGATTGAAATTGGACCCTCTGAAACACTGATGTAATCAAAGAGTTACGTATCCTTTCTTCATGGGCAAAGGAGCACTTCCCTGTACCTCTTCCCCTTATTTGAAACCGTGTTTACATTTTCTGATTAATGTTGCTTCCAAAGCTTATAAATAATTGACCAGAAACCTGACTTAATTGGAATTGTGCTAACTAAGCCTTATTAATACAGCATAATAATTCAGCTGCTGCTAAACCTTGTCACCTGTGCACAGTAACAGCCAGCACCGACTGAACATGTACTCTGCCATGACACCGTTCTTAGTTCTCACCATGCATTACACTGTGTGGTGCAAGAGTTCTCTCAGGTAGGTACTGAGGAACTGAGGTTGGGGAAAATAAGATAACTTGGTCAAAGCTGATGGTGGGGTACAGCCAGGACCTCAAAGTCATCTGACTAATTTTAGAGTTAGTGCTTTTAATCTCATAAATGTCACAGGGAGGGGGGGATGACAAACCAGATTAAATAAAAATACCTGAATTATAGAGTACTTAAAAGGAAATGTAGACCCTGGCTGGTTTGGCTCAGCGGTTAGAGCGTCGGCCTGTGGACCCGGAGAGTCCCTGGTTGGGTTCCTGCTAAGGGCACGGTCCTCAGCTGCAGTTTGTCCCCGGCCCCAGTTGAGATTGTGTGGGTGGCAACCAGTCGATGTGTCTCTCATGTCGATGTTTCTCTCTCTCTCTTCCTCCATCTCTCCCTCCCGCTCTATCTGAAGATAAATGCAAAAATGTCCTTGGGTGTGGATAAAAAAAATTTAAAAAAAGGAAATGTAAGTTTTTAGTTTTGAGAGTATTTTTAAAAATATACTTAATGATTTTTTTTTTTTTAAGAGAGAGGAAGGGAGAGGGAGAAACATCAATGAGAGAGAACCACTGATTGGCTGCCTCCTGAAAGTCAGCAACATGGGCATGTGCCCTCATTGGGAATCAAACCAGTGACCTCTTGGTACATGGCATGATGCTCAATCAACTGAGCCACACAGGCCAGGGAAGGTTTGAGAGTATTTTAACTGGCACATACATAGCTACTTAAAAGTAAGTTGTGGAGTTAGTTTTTTAAAAGTTAGTTTTTTATAAAATGATGCAACTCACTATAACCTATGAGAACAATAAAGAAAAAATTTAAGAAGTGTTAAATATCAGATGTTAATGATGTTTTAACAAAATTCTTAACTTTGTACTATTTTTAAATACTGTTTTCCTAGACTAAATTTCTCTTGCTTATAAAGTAATGTTCTGAGAATAAAGTGAAACATTTAAAAATTGTAACCAATGAAGAAAACTGCATTTAAAATTTCCAAGTAAATATAATGCTATGCTATGTAGACACTAAATATTGTTTTTATTACAGAGAAAAATTCTTAAGTGATAATGTTAAGTGAAAAAAGCAGGATATAATATTAAATATACAAAATGATCACATTTCCTAAAAATTACACAGAAATATGAATAAAATATATAAAAATGTTAGTGATTATTTCTAGGCAATGAGATTATAGGCTATTTTAATTTTACTCTTTATACTTTTACATATTTTTTGCCATGAGCATGGATTACATTTATAATCCGAAAAAAAATAAACATTAAACAAATGGAAAAACAAAAAGAAGACCCAAAAAATTACAAGTAGAAACTGGTAAGGTTTTATGACTGCAACCACTATTTTCTTCAGATTTCCATCTACAAAGCCATAAAAACACATGGGGATGGGAGGTATTTTAAAGTGTACGTGTGTGTTGAGCTGATAGGCCTTAGCAGAAGCTCAGCTGAGATTCCTGAGCAGATGGACTGAGGCACTAGGTCACCTGCTTCTAAACCCTGCTGGTCTCCAGGGAGCAGCTGGGAACTGGCAGCCAGCCGGCTTCTTGGGCTGCAGTACACATCCCAGCCCTCCCCCCGTTCACTGGGCTGGCTCCTTGCCGGGCCAGCAGACAGTCTGGAAAACCCCAGGGCCATCTGTGACCTAGACTGGTTCTCACTGACCCTGGTAGGTTCCCAGGAACAGGGCACTCTACCCCAGAAACACAATGTGCTGGCAGGACCCAGCTACCTCCTCCCAGCCCCTCCCGCCCATGTTTGTTTAGCTGGGTAAAAGTAAGTCTGATTAACATAATTTACAGAAACAACTTACCACTTACATCTAATTACTATATGGCACAATAATGATTATGCATATCGTTAAATATGTGCCAGATTAATTGTGTTGTTCATTGTATTTGATTACCACAGCAATCTAGACTGTAATCAGGAGACATTCAGCTTCCTTGGCTATTTCAAGGTCATTCACTTAAAGTTTAAAAACATAGATTAATGTAGGTCACACTCACTTTAGGAAATAAGGTATATTTCTAAAGCCAGATGGTGCCCTGGTTGGTTTGGCTCAGTGGTTAGAACGTCAGCCTATGGACCAGAGTCCTGGGTTCGGTTCCTGCTAGGGCCATGTACCTCGGTTGCAGTTTGTCCCCGGCTCCAGTTGGGGTCGTGTGGGTGGCAACCAGTTGTGTCTCTCTCACATCGATGTTTCTCTCTCTCTCTTCCCCTCTCTCCCCCTCCTGCTCTATCTGAAGATAAATGCAAAAAAAATAAAAAGTCCTTGGGTGAGGATAAAAAAAAAACCAGATGTTTAATAATAATAGTAGTAATAATAATAGCAGCTATATTTATCCAGGATTTACCAGGTGAAACCTAATGATATTTCCTCTTCACTACAGCCCTTACTTTCCCTTTCTCATGACAGAAAGGACTGTGTTTGCACGTGTGTGTTAACAGAGTTAACAGAATCTGAACTGAGCTGGCAAAGGATTTCAGACAGTGGAGGAGAGAAGTGGCGAGACTGTCACAGAGGAGGAAGCTGCACAAAGCAGGTCACAGTGAGTAAAGAGGAGGATGAAGAAAGGCTTCAAGTCGGCAATGATTGGATGAAGATATAAATCCAACATAAACAGACAGCAACACTTTGATATCTTAAGAAGACAAACTAGTTCATATCCATTCATCCGGTATGACACCCATTCAGCAAACTTATAATTATGTGAAATTTTTTATATGTCTGGTAACACAATCAACTTTCCTCCCTCCTTGTGTACTTTATATGATTTTAAGTGTACAAAAAGTATTGCTTTCTAAGAATGTAAGACCATACTAATAAACAAGCAATGTTGTTTGCTTAGTTTTAAAATTCTCTGCTGCCCACAATAAAAGACAATCAAAAAAGATATTACTGGAGGGATCATTTCGTAACTTATATAAATGTCTAACCACTGAAATGCTGTACACCTGAAACTAATATAATATTGAATGTCTATTGTAATTGAATAATAATAAAAAATAAAATTATATTTAAAAACAACCCAGTAGTCATCTCCTGTAATGAAGAAGATAATAGAACTGTTGTTAATATGAGATATTTCTTTAGAGGTCAAGGATCCTATTAGTCTCTCCGAAATATGTAAGACATTATGATATGATGACAGATTTTCAGTAGACAAATCCCAGGAATCAGTTAGGCTTGAGTTCAAATTCTAGTTTCGTCCCTTATTGACAGTGTGAGCAAAGATTAGAAACTTAACCAGTGTGAACCTCAGTTTTCCCGTCTTTAAAGTGGGATAGTAATTCCTGCCTCATGGAATAGAGAATTAAATAATATAATGGATGCAATGAGATTATTAGCATAACACCAGGAATTTCCTCAATAATTATTTGTTATTTATTATTGAATGCTAAATGGTGTATTTAATTACAGATCTGTCACTTAAAAAAAAGTATTAAAATCAAATAAGTAAATGCAAAATGCCTCAAAGGTTATGAAAGAGAAGAATCACTTGATTGTAGCCTTTAACAATGTTTTACACTTACCCATAAATACAAGAGATGTCAATAACCACATCGATCATATCACAGCAGAGCTCATAGGTCTGCATATCTACCGGGGTACTATCAGTTGCAATATAAATTTTACTGACCACATCAAATAGAAATGCCTTTTCAATTCCAGAATTCTGAAACAAAACAAAAAGAAGATGCTGACTTAAAGCAACAGCTGATTTCAGACCAGGTCACAGTTACATAAAACTATATGCCATCCTCTATGTAAAAAATGTACAAGCAAAAGTTAAGTCACTAAGATTTTAGGTTCTTCCATTTTATTACAATTTAGACCTCATTGTCATATACTTCTTTATAATGGACTTGCATAGGAAATGAAAGTGGAATTGATTATCATAAATTATTTACTGTAGGTAAACAAGCTGAGTGGTGGCCAAGTAAAAACACTAATAAATTTAAGAAATCTGAACAAGCAAATGCAAATTGTGCAGTGAGAATTAATGTAATCACAACCAACAGGTCTGCTTCAATTAGCTGGTAGTTTATAGGACTCATTCAGCCAGCACATCATTCGGTCTTAACTGTGTGTCTTATCGCCAAACCAACTTTTATGCTCCCTACCTCTGGTAGGGCTCTGTTAACACTGAATGACTGCCTAGTTTGAATAAACACTCCAATTTACCAGAGAAGTACAAGAATTCATTTTGGGAGTTAAATTTTAAAGGACCCAAGTAAACAACCTGCAGAAGCAACCTCCAAAAGTAATACTTCAATGATCTTGAAATGCTGTAAGAGTAAGTAGAAACAAGGTAGTTTTCACTATTGCAATATTATTCTTAAATTCCGCAAATGACACAAGTAGGATGATATTATTTACTTACTGAGATAAAGATGTTTAGCAAATTCTCCAGGGTGGGGAGTTGTGGAATTAATTTCTGAACCACTTTGCTAAAAGCTTCAAATATTGAATGATCATATATGCTTGTCAGATAAAAGCTGAAAGAGGAAACAATATTTCATCACGTTTTCCCCTTGACTGAGGAAGAGACTGCTTAGGCTCTGGCCTAACACCAGTACCCTGCCTTCTGTAGCTACACTCCTCACACACGTTCTAGCCCTTCAGGATTCGAAACAGCCTTGGTTTTATAAAAACTGAATGTCTTAATACCACATGATCTCACTTATTTGTGGAATATAATGAACAAAAAAAGCTGATGAAGAAAATAGACCCAGAGACATAGAAAGGAGTACAGTTCAGACTGACAGACTTCAGAGGTGGGTGGGGGAGGGGTGATATAAACCAAAGAACTTATATGCATGTATGTGTAACCAATGGACATGAACAGTGATGCTTGGAGGGAGGGGGGCGGGATATGGAGGAGGCTGTCTTGGGGGGAAAAAGGAGAAACATCTGTAACAAAAATAATTTAATTAATAAATAAAAATTTTAAAAAACTGAACATGTCTTAACAGGTCATTCTTCCCCACCACCCAAAAAACAAGAGCTGTGCCCATTCTTATCTGCTGACTGGCTGGACAGGAAAGCTTAAAAATGCAAAAGAAAAAAAAAAAAAGCTTAAAAAAAATGCACTGTAGCCCGGCTGGTGTGGCTCAGTGGATTGAGCATCATTTCATGCACTGAAGTCACTGATTCAATTCCAGGGCAGGGCACATGCCCAGGTTTGGGGGCCAATCCCCAGTAGGGGGCATGCAGGAGACAGCCGATCAATGTTTCTCTCTCATCAATGTTTCTCTCTCTCTCTCCCTTCTTCTCTCTGAAATCAATAAAAACATATTTTTAAAAAAATGCATTGTAGGGTTCGCTTCGGCAGCACATATACTAAAACATGAAAGATACAGAGAATAGCATGCCCCTACACAAGGATGACAAGAAAATTTGTGAAGCATTCCATATTTTTTAAAAAATGCATCATGTGTGTCCATAGCAGCTTCCTTACATGCTGTGAGAAAAATGCACTACGGATCATCCGTACACATGCCTCATGGGCTGGTGACAGTTAGATTATTCATACTGAAGCATCTAAGTTTTTCATTTCCCAGTTTCTAAGATCAATGATACATGTAGCACCCCCAACCAAAATGACAGAGAAATGGTTCTCCTCTGTGAGTATTGCTATTTGAATTATCTTCAGAGTTCGATACTATCCTATTTATCAAGAACTGCAGACTGCAGCATCAGTTAACTTCCTGGGTTACACTCATGGATTCTGTGTCACGTGTTTTTCAAAGCGGGGAACCCTTAGCTTGTAAACCCCACTGCTTTCCCCAAAGATCAGAGTCAGCGCACGGAAAGCCTGCTTCCCCAAATACTGTTCCAATGTCTACAGTACAAAACGGGGTAAAAAGGTCAATCACTGCCCATGCCAAAGCACTTGTGGTGACTCTGGACCCCAAATTTGCTTTTTTCCGTTCATTACTGTGATCCTGAGGGGTTTCTGTTCTCACCTGAGGTGAATTTTTTCTAATCCAGCATCTGTGAGGTCGTCATTTGCCCTCTGATGAATATCTCTTTGGGTTTCAATTTTGTGGTCATCTGACAGACCATCCACTTTATGAATAAACACCTCGAAGTTGATGTCGGTGTTCACTTTGTAGGCCCTGGTCACTGTGAGGTGCAGCCGGGCCAGGGCTTCCATGTAATCGTCCTGGGGACAAAGCGCAGTCCTGTCAGCAGGGCGGCTCTGCCCCTCAGCCCCCACGCTGCCTCGCGTGGAGCCCTTCCCCCAGCTTCACCGTGGGATGCCTGGCAGACGGACACGGCATCTATCCCCAGGGTACCGCGCGCCCTGGCTGGTTTTGCTCAGCGGTTGGAGCGTCGGCCGTGGACTAAAGAGCCGCGGGGTCAGTTCTGGTCAAGGGCACGTACCTTGGTTGCGGTTTGGTCCCCGGCCCCGGTCGGGGTCGTGCGGGGGGCAGCCAGTCGATGTGTCTCTCTCGCATTGATCTTTCTCTTTCTCTGTCTCCCTCCCTCCCTCCTTCCCACTCTATCTGAAAAAATAAATAAATAAAAATAAAGGGTACAACATGATGTTTTGATACACATGTATGTTGTGAAATGATCCCCCCAATCTAGCACCTCACCTCACAGTTAACCATTTTTTTTCCCTCCCACATTCATTCTTAATTTGGAAATCATCTGGGTACAATCTCCAAAAATATTTTGCAAAAGCCCAATAAAGGTTGGTTTCATAGAATTCAAGTTGAAAACTTACTCTGTGAACAGAGAGATGAAAAAGAAAGGCCAGAAAACAGCGCTGGAGGTAGTTAGGACCAGCTTGACAGTCATAAAGATCAGAGCTGCAATTTGTGAATCAAAAATCCACCAAGGTCACCCAAGGCCTCCCTTGGAATACAATTCCTCCCAGATTTTCTAGTCTTTTAGTAAACTGTGATGAACAACTGGAGATGAAAACATGGTAAAGGGTCACCGGGAGGAGCCAGGAAGAAAAGACTTTAAGAACCACTGGTCTGGAGCAGCCAAACTGGGCCCACACTGTTGTTTGGAAACAGTTTTACTGGAACACAGCCACACTCGTTTGTCTACATGGTATCTATGGCTGCTTTCATGCTACAAATTTTCCTCTGTGGAAATGCCTCCGAGATGATATAACCTGTAAAGCCTAAAATATTTATCATCTGGCTCTTTACAGAAAAAGATGGCTGCCCTGGCCGGTTTGGCTCAGCAGTTAGAGCGTCAGCCTGTGGTCCAGAGAGACCCGGGTTCGGTTCCCGCTAGGGGCATGTACCTCGGTTGCAGTTTGTCCCCGGCCCTGGTTGAGTCGTGCGGGTGGAAGCCCCTAGATGTGTCCCTTTCACGTCGATGTTTCTCTCTCTCTCTCTCTCTCTCTCTCTCTCTCTCTCTCTCTTCCTCTCTCCCCCTCCCACTCTATCTGAACAAAAAATGGAAAAATGTCCTCGGGTAAAGATAGAAAAAAAAAAAAGACAGAAAAAGATCGCTGACCCATGGTCTACAATCATTGCCCCAAATAACATAATACTATTTTTTTTTCCTTCCTACAAATGAAACCTTTATAATGACACCTGTATATGCATCTCTTTGCTTAAAAAATATCAAACATTAGACACTGAAGCCCTGTGTGTGTCTCCCCCTCCTCTCAGCCCTCCCCCTCCAGAGGTGGCACTATCCCAAGCTTAGTGTTTATTCACTCACCTTTTGATACCTTACTACATACATAACTATCCTTAAACAACATACATAATTACATTGTTCTAAAATTCATAAAAATATCAAGTTACATGTATATTATGGTTTGTCTTTCTCACTCAACATTATGTCAGTGAGATTCACCTACACTGAAGTGCATAACTCCTTTTAACAGCTTTATAGAATGTCACTGTATGGCCTGGCCAGTGTGGCTCAGCAGCTGAGCATCGACCCACGCGCCAAGAGGTTACAGGTTCAATTCTGGATCAGGGCACATGCCCGAGTTGTGGGCCAAATCCTCAGTGGGGGACATGCAGAAGGCAGCCAACTGATGTTCTCTCTCACTGATGTTTCGCTCTCTCTCAAATCAATTTTAAAAATTGTTTTTTAATTTCATTATATGGATGGCCTATAATTTATCACTGTTGACAACTGTTGATAGACTTTCAGAATGTTTACAGACAAGGATAATGTTTCTAGACAATGATAATCTTTGTGTCTGTTTGTGAGTTTTGGGGGCACACCCTGAAGGCTGACCTGTTGGGTCATAGGAATGAACACCTTGAATGTGACTAGACAATATGTAAGAGTACCAGACGCTCCAGACCCTCACCAACACTCAGTGTTGTCATATCTCTCAATTATTGCCAATTGAAGGTGTGAACAGGTCTTATTTTTACAGTAAAAGAAAAGGGATCTGCTAGACAGTATTCAGAGGACATTTCACCGCCTATTCTGACTCCAAACCCGGACCAATACAGAAAGCCAATAAAACCAGGGATGTTTCTGGCATTCTCGTCCCCAAACTAAATTTATAAAAATATGGTCCTACTCTCCAGATAAATCAAAATAGTAGAGATACTAATAAGAAACTATGAAGGACAAACAGCAAATGGAATCGTTTTCATTCTCACAATCTAAGAGTCATTTAAAATGAAAGAAAATGTTGGACAATAAACTAGCAGATTAAGCATTTGGGGAAAATTCTAGAGGAATAATTTGCAGTACTTTTTTAATACCTTAAAGTATTTTGAATAAAAACTAAAGTTATTACTGTACGGTTCCACACATATGAAATTCTAGAAAAGCAAACTGATCTACGGTGACAGGAAGCACATTAGCAGGCCTGGGCTGGGTGTGGGGACTGACTAAAAACACAAACGTATCCTTTGAGGTGGCAGAAACAGTCTACACGTCTTGATTGTGAGGTAGCTACAAGGTGTATACATTTGTCAAACTCAATGAACCATTCACTTAAAATAAAGGCACTTTATTGTATGTATATTAACCTCAAAAAAAGTGTCATTGCTTATGTCTTTAACACAAGCAAGAGGGGAGTTAGAGGGACAGAACTGTGAGCAAAACTAGCCAATGTCAAGACAGCATCACAGTCTCAAAGGATTAGAAATTGCTATTCTAACTGCCCTGCCAGGCATATAAAATGGTCTGATTACCAACTAACTGATGAAGTAATATGTAGCTACTTGAATTACAAATGAACCTGGCTAGTGTGGCTGTGTGGATTGAGCGTCTTACCATGCACCCGAGAGGTCACAGTTCAATTCCAGGTCAGGCACATGCCTGGGTTTCAAGCTCAGCTCCCAGTAGGGGGGCATGTGGGAGGCAGCTGATCGATGTTTCTCTCTCATGGATGTTTCTATCTCTCTCTCTCCCTCTCCCTTCCTCTGTGTCAAAAATCAATAAAAATTAAAAAAAAAAATTACAAATGACATTAAAAAGAAGAAATACTTAGTTTATTAGAGCAGAGGGATAGTGGATGATTTTTCCTACTGTGTTTGTTATTATCTTCCATAACAAATAAAAGTAAAGAAAAAACATACTGCCTGGTTCACTAAAAAATTAGATCTAGGGCCCTGGCCAGTTTGGCTCAGCAGTTAGAGCATCGGCCTGTGGCCCAGAGAAACCCGGGTTTGGTTCCCGCTAAGGGCACATACCTCAGTTGCAGTTTGTCCCCAGCCCCGGTTGGGGTTGTGTGGGTGACAACCAGTCAATGTGTCTCTCTCACATCGATGTTTCTCTCTCTCTCTTCCCCCCTCTCCCTCCTGCTTTATCTGAAGATAAATGAAAAAAAAAAAAAGTCCTTGGGTGAGGATTAAAAAAAAAATTAGACCTAGGAATTATAGATGTGTGTCCCAAGGCACACGTGGAATGGCTCCAGGGGGCCGAGGGGGCGCTGGAGGTGTGTTGCACTCTGTGGGCTTAGCTGGGGGGCTGGGGGCATCACACATTTAGGTCGTGAGAAATGACTCTGAATGCTTTCATTCTCTTTTATTTTACAACATTCTGTGAGGACACATTTTCTCCTTGGTGATATATGTATCTCTCAATCTTCTGATTGTGAGGAATTCACAAGCAAAAAATAACAATATGAGGTGTCCAACAAACAGAGCACTGCTTAGAAATAAAGAAAAATGGCCCTGGCTTGTTTGCTCAGTGGTTAGAGCCTTGGCCTGTGGACCAAAGTCTTGGGTTTGGTTCCCGCTAAGGACATGTACCTCGTTTGCAGTTTGTCCCCAGCCAAGGTTGAGGTCATGTGGGAGGCAACCAGTCGATGTGTCTCTCCCACATCGATGTTCCTCTCTCTCTCTCTCCCTCCCACTCTATCTGAAGATAAATTCAAAAAAAAAAAGAAAGAAAATGATATTCAGGAGCAGTTGATATACTTCCCTACTGTGTGCTCATTTTAGTGCTTGTCTTGCAGATTCCCACAAACATGATTTTCACAGACTGCTTCCAATAGAAAAGTATGTTAGACAGACTTTGAATCTACTGACTTAATTACTTTATATGTTTTTAAGTAAATGACAGGTCTCAACAATGTTTTTCCTACCCTTTTTAAAAAGTATAACTTAAAAAGATGAATTTTGCAAGCATTTGTATACCTTTCTCTGCCTTACAGCTAAGAAATAAACAAAAAAACTGAGAAACAAAATAAAACAAAAAAGACATTTATCAACCCAAACTTAAGGTCCAATTTCATGTGCAGGTAGAATTAAAACCAAATTATGGTTGTAATTTAACCTATTTTAGCTCCATCGTATAAATACCCGAGATGGATTTGCTTTGGAAACTGAAATTCCATAAATGCAAATTGCTAGGTCAGCACAACATGGTACTGAAGTGAGTATTTACTTACTAAGCCACTGTCTTGAAATGATGAGTCATGTGGTTGGAATCTACTCACTCACAGGCTGCCACTACCTAGTACAACTACACAAACAGTGGCCATGTGACTTAGGGAAAATGGAGCTTAGAAAAGAGATAAGGTTGACATCCCTGGAGCCTCACCTCCCATGCAGCAGCCTGTACACTGGCTGCTCCTTTCCAGCTCCAGGCTCCCTAATTTATGGTGCTGGCAGACCTGAGACAGGAAGGCAGGGGATACTGCCAAGGCCACAGATGGGCCAGAAAACAGATCACTACAAGTGGGACAGCCAGAAAAGCAGCGACTGACAGCAGGCCCTGGACCTGATGCAGGTGCCTACAAGCACGCACTTCTGGATGGGTCCAAGGGAGGAGGCACTGTTCCTGGATCGGGCATTGGAATTTGAAGTCTCTCCCTCTATGCCCCAGCAGAAAAGAAAGAACCCTTTCTAACCACATGGCCAAGCTCCTACAGCCACACTAGAAGTACAAAGTGCAGTCGCTCGAAATGAAAAGGCTTTAGTTGAAAATTTCGTCATTCTATTAAACACTTAGTTCCGTGCATGCTCTCTAGCATAAGCCGTCTTCCCAGAAAACGGTTTTCCAAGCGAGGGCTCAGACCCATTATGATCGAGTCTTCATATCCCTTCCCTGCTAACTACACTGATACTCCTGCAAGGGCTGGGTGTGCTCAGCCCACCTGTCTCATTGTAGGGCCACAGTTTGGGGGAAATGTCTGGACCCAGATTTGGAGTTGGTATAGTGCATTCCTGTAAGGCTCGTTGCCTTTTATTCCCCCACAACTGCAAAAGGGAGCCCTGGGGAGGGCCTCCAGGCTGGTCACGCATCAGTGACACTTTCTAAGATACTTGGACATGGAGAGTTCGAAGGGCATCAAGGTTCCCAATCCGGCTCCCTGTACTCTTTCCTATACTGACCTGCCTCAGGTGCACCGGTAGTCCCGCTGCTTCCCTTCTCCACCTCCCCTGTACCACAGGCTTGGCTCCACTTACCAGGGGAAAGGCTCAGGGTATAAAATCCCAGGTGCCAAAGAGACCACTCAGAAGGCTGGTCGAGCAACTGATAAAGTGAACGACTCAATGCCTGGGCAGTACGTCCAAGGGCTCCGACTTCTTTGCTCTCAGAAAGGTGAGGAGGACCCAATCAGCATGTCTATTGGTAAACACTAAAAATAACTTTTTGTGATAAAAAATTGGGCAATTTAGGGAGTATAACTTGGAAGGAGTTTAAATAATTGAGTGAATGGCTCAGCTGGTGTGGCTCAGTGGTTGAGCGTCAACCCATGCACCAAGAGGTCGCCAGTTGGATTCCCGGTCAGGGCACGTGCCCAGGTTGTGGGCCCAATCCCCAGTGGGGGGCGTGCAGGAGGCAGCCAACTGACGTTCTCTCTCATTGATGTTTCTAGCTCCCTGTCCTTCTCCCTTTCTCTCCCTCTAAAATCAATAAAGAAAATAAAATTTAAAAAATAAAATAAAAATAATTGAGTGAATGCTATGCCAAAACCCACCCTCTATCTACCTATTTAGGTGAACAAGGTTTCTCAGTGCTTACATCTATACCAACAAAAAATGAAAATAGAACCCATGCTGGATCTCATCTTAGTCAAGCTTGGATACATGAAATTGGGACTATAGCCATCTCCTTAACAGAGATCATTATCTCAAAATTTACTTTTTATGTTTAAATTACCTATAAAATACGTAATCGTTAAGCTGTCTTTACCACTGTGCACTAATAATTACAATAATTTTCATTCAGAAGAAAACCTTTCATACTTGAAACTTTATCTTAATAGGAAATAGTAAACATTTTAAAATGTAAACTTATATACTTTTTTTTTTTTTTTGCACAGACCCTATCGAGAACATCAGAGGGGGGCCATGTACTTGCTGTCTTTGGCCTGTACGGAGGGCCCCTCCACCCAGGAGGTTTCCCAGGTCTGGGATTTGCGGAGAGGTACACAGCTACACGGCTCCCTGCATCATCGCGTATTGGCCAGGGTTGCATGAAGGGAGACTTCTTTGCAAACCCTGAGAACCCCAACCGAGCAATGCTCATTTGGTAGAGAAGTCTATTCTCAATTCTAAAAACCAAACCCCAAACTCAAACCACCACAAAGGAAACTGTTTGAACCCAGGGGAACAACTACCTATGCGAGGGGGAGAGGGGCCTGCTGTCCCACTGTACCCAAGACTGGGCTTTACCTGGGAGTCTATGACAAATATCAGTGCTCCTGTTCCCCGGAAGATCATCTCATAGTCAAATGTAGGGTCAAAAAAGTCAATCTGTCCTGGGAAGTCCCAAATCTGAAAATTCACGAAGGAGCTGTTGGACACATCTTCCCGGCAGATCTTATTCGTGCTCTCCAAGAACAGTGTTTCGTTGGGAGACATTTTGTGAAAGACGACTTTCTGAATAGATGACTTGCCACTTCTCCTCAGGCCCATGAGCAGGATCCTCGGCTTCACCTCAGTGCTGAAGGGATCGCTGAAGTCCAGAACTAGAGAAAACCACAAAACAATAACGAGGGTCAGACGCGTTCACAGCGGTTAATTCAAGGAGTTTCACTTCCACCTCAAATGTGATTTACGATTCACAGACAGATCAACTTTTCCAAATATGGAGAGTGCTAGCTAGGTCGCCCCACTCACTGAGGGGCCAGCCTTTAGTAAGTGCAAAACACTGAAAAATGCTGGTTCACTACCTCTCATACCATCCCAGGGGCCAGAAAACCATTCCACGTCATAAGCAGGGAATCCAGAGTAGAGGTATTCTGGAGCTGATCATCTGGAAAAATAATCCAGTGTTTGCTTTCCAGCGCAATGCCCTTGTTAGCCTGAATCGTCAGGGTCTCCATGCATTTACCCTCCCCGCGTTACCCTCTCTTGGCCAGTGCTCTCATATGCCACAAAGGCCTGGAAAATGGGCATGTCCTAGACGCCTCAGACTCAGACTGTGTTAGAAAGAGGACATAAACTTTGTGGGAGGCACACCTCTCTCAGGCCCACCCTGGCTCTAAGCCCGCACTGACCACTTACATTAAAATTCACTAAAATTAGGACTCCAGAACCACTATGCTATGCCCCTCAAACTAATACAAAATAATATTGAATTGTAAACTGTAATTGAAAAAAATAAAAATTTTAACACCTCCCCCCGCCAAAAAACCCAGTTCCTAGAGTAGTCAAGTTCATAGACACAGAAAGTAGAATGGTGGTTTCCAGGGACCAGCGGGATGAGGAGTTACTGTTTAATGGGTAGAGTTTCAGTTGGGGAAAATGAAAAAGTTCTGGAGATGGATGGTAGTGATGGTTTAACAACATTGTGTGTACACTTAACATCACTAAACTGTACTCTTAAAAACGGTTAGCCCGGCTGCAGTGGGCGTCATCCTGTGCACCAAAGGATTGCTGGTTCAATTCCCAGTCGGGGTACATACCTGAATTGCAGGTTCGATCCCAGGTAGGGGCATACATAGAAGGCAACCGATCAATGTTTCTCTCTCACATCCCCTTCTCTCTCTCTCACTTCCTCTCTCTAAGCATGTCTACAGGTGAGGGTTTAAAAATAAATGGTTAAGAGAGTAAATTTTATGTTGTATATGTTCTACTGCAATAAAAAAAAATTCTATTCCTCACTTGCAAGAGTCATGCTTCAGGTATTCAATAGCCACACTAGGCACGAGCACAGACATAAAACACTGTCATCATCACAGAAAGTTATAAAGATCAGCATTACTCTAGTCGCTGGTAACAAAAATTCAATCCTAAAATCCTTTGTTAAGGGTCCTGGAGAGATTTGGCATCACTGGATAAAAGTAGGAATTGGTATAAAAGTTCAAAACCCCATTGAGCTTTCTCTTTTCTTTGATCTTGAAACATATAATGTTAGTTCCACAATGTTCTAAACAACCACTTAATTTCTGAGAAGCAGCCCTACTTTACCAAGAGTGTGTATATTTACAGAAGCAAAGGAAGTATCACTTAGTGGTTATATTTTAGGGCCTGAAGTCAAGACCTGGGGTTTGAGCTATGAGACCCTGGACAAGATGCTTAGCTTTTCAGAGTCAGTTTCAAATCCATAAAATGGAGTTAATAATGACAATAAAAACCTCAAAGAGCTGATAATTAAATGAGATCAAGGACCTAAAATGATGATTAAAAATAAGATCCATTCAGCAAATGGTGCTAGATCAAACTCGATATCCAAAAACAAAAGAATGAAGTTGGAAACTTATCCTACACCATATACAGAAACTCACTCAAGCCCGGTTGGTGTGGCTCAGTGGTTGAGCGCTGACCCATGCACCAAGAGGTCGCCAGTTCAATTCCTGGTCAGGGCACATGCCCGGGTTGTGGGCTCGATCCCCAGTAGGGGCACGCAGGAGGCAGCCGATCAATGTTTCTCTCTCATTGATGCTTCTATCTCCCTCTCCCTTCCTCTCTCTCTAACAAAAGAAAAGTCGATGAAAATATTTTTTAAAAATTAACTCAAAATAGATGAAACATCTAAATTTATGAGGTAAGATGATAAAACTCTTAAAAAGAAACATAGGTATAAATCTTGATGATCTTAGATTAGGCAACAGTTTCTTAACTATGACACCAAAAGCACAAGTAACCACAGAAAAAATAAACTGGACCTCATCAAAGTGAAAAACTCTGGTGCTTTAAAGGACACTATCAAGAAGTGAAGACAATCCACAGAATGGGAGAAAACATTTGCAAATCATATATGTGATAAGGGGCTAGTAGCCAGAATATAAAAAGAACTCTTACAATTCAATAATAAGACAACCCAATGAAATACAAAGGATCTACAGAGACTTTTCTCCAAAGAAGACAGACAAATGGCCAATAAGCACATGAGATGATGCTCTACATCATTAGCCATCAGAGAAATACTAATCAAAATCACCATGAGATTCCACTTCACAGCCACGAGGATGGCTACAATAAAAAAGACAGAAAAGCCCGGCTGGTGCGGCTCAGTGGTTGGGCATTGACCCATGCATCAAGAGGTCACCAGTTCAATTCCTGGTCAGGGCGCATGCCCAAGGTTGTGGGCCCAATCCCCAGTGGAGGGCATGCAGGAGGCAGCCTCTCAATGATGTTTCCATCTCTCTCTCCTTCTCCCTTCCTCTCTCTCTAAACAATAAATTTAAAAAATTGAAAAAAAAAAAAAAAAGACAGATAATAACAAGTATTGGTGAGGATGTGGATAAATTGGAACCCTCAGACACTGCTGGTGAAAATGTAAAATGGAGTGCTTTGAGAAAAAAAAGTCTGGCAGTTCCTCAAAAGGTTAAACATGAAGTCACCACATGAAACAGCAATTCCACTTCTAGAAATATATTCAAAGGCATGAAAGCATATGTCCAAACAAAAACCTGTACATTAATGTTCACAGCAGCATTATTCTTAATAGCTAAAAAGTGGAAACAACTCAATGGCCATCAACTGATGACTAGATTAACAAAATGTGGTATATACATATAATGGAATATTCGACCATAAAAAGGGAACAAAGTACTGATTTATGCTACAACATGAATAAACATTGAAAGTGAAACAAGATACAAAAGGTCACATATTGTTTGATTCCATTTATAGGAAACATACAGAATAGACAAATTCACAGACAAAGGTACTTTGTGGTTGCCAGGGGCTGCAGGGAAGGGAAAATGGAAAGTGACTGTCAATGGGCGTGTGATTTCTTTGGAGTAATAAAAATGTCCTAGAATTAAATAGTAATGATGATTACACACCTTTGTGAATTTATTAAAATCACTCATTTGTATACTTTAAAAGGGCAAATACTATAATGCGTGAAATATATCTCAATTTTTAAAGGCTTCATGAATAACCAAATTATATAAAATAATAAATAAAAATAAAATAATAAATAAAAATGAAGCTTGGAGAAAAGTCAAGAAAGGAAAACCAACATTTTAAGAAAGACAGAATATAGGCAAATATGGAGATATAAATACATTAAATTCTTTTTCTAAATTTCTGTTTGATTTCTTTCTGAACTACACCTCTTAAATCTTTCTCAGTCCCGTACTCGAGCCTAAGCCTACTCAAATAGAGACTGAAAAGTAATCCTTTATTTCCCTATTGTAACACAATTTTTTCCAAAAACACACGAATACTTGATAATCTACTTAATTTCATTTACTATAAACAATATTTTGATGTTTCAATTTACAAGAGGTGTAGGTAAACACACCAATTTTGGGTAAAACAATAATAAATAAAGTAAGCAGGTGCAGATGTACACAGAAACTATTATAAGCAACATCTCACCCCCTCCTACCCACACACTTTTCCAGTTCAGCTTAACCCAATCCAACAAATTGCTGATAAGGTTGAAGCAGTGAGGGGACATAAACTACCAAAAAAAGTCACCAGCTTTCTTCTTCGTTAGTGATTATATGCTACCCATTCGCAGTACTGCCATTACAACTCAATCTTAGAGAAGGCAGGACATCTCAAAACTGACAAATCATTGAAAAGTTCCCTAAGAAACACACAGAGCAGACTGAAGAGGGAACCTGCAGCCTTGCCGTGAATGGAAGGAAGAGTTCTGCTGCAGAAGGTAGAGCTGGTGGCAGCCCAAACAGGAAGGGGCAGGAAGACAACCAACAGGGTCGTTATTTGGAGAATCAAAGTGAGAAGAGCCAAGGACATAAACTGCTCCACTGCTTATCTACCTAACACCATCCTGCACACACTCTAGAGCATCTTCCAGGAGGAGCGGTGAGCCTGGAGCTTGGGGGTGAGAAGGAAGGCAGTGTTCCAGGAGCTAGTGATGCCCCAGAGGAACAGAGAGCAACCCCACTCCAAATACCCTGACCTCACCTGACTCTCACTACAATACGTGTGGAGATCAAAAGGTGGGAGCAGCACCACTTTGCTTCAGACATTTCCTCAAATGAGGAAAGCCAAGAGTATAGAAGAGAGGAGTCCCAACAAGTGGAAGAATGTACACCCGAAGAAGAAGAAGTCATAATGGAATCAGAGCAAACTTTGAAACCAAGATAAGAGAAAATACAACATTCATGAAACAAGGACAGTTTTCAAATAAGAGCAGTCATGAAAAAGGGCCTTAGAGGTCTTGAAAATAAAAATGTAATTTTAGGGGAGGTAAAGATAAAGGGATTGAAAAGCAGAATAAACACAGATAAAGAGGGTAATAGCGAACTGGTAAATCAAATTCTCTCAGAGTGCAGTACAAAGGGATAGAGCAGTGGAATGTGTGAAATGAAAATTAAAGTGACATCAGAAATAAGATTCAGAAGCTCTACTATGTGCCAAAGAAATTCCAAAAGAAGAAAATACAGAATATAAGGGAAGGCAATATTTAACTAAATAGATAAGCCTCTTCCAAACTAAGAAAGGATAACACTCAAAAGGAACAAAACAAGCAATTTAAACAAAAACAAGCCCACACCTAGAATAATCATAGTAAAACTTCAAAACATCAAAGGTAATAAAA